AGTTCCGCCGCTCGCCGCTAAAATTTTAGTTTTCCGTAGTTCCGCCGCTCGCCGCTAGATGGCGCCACCTGTACCGTTTTCGACCGAATTCGACAAAAATTGATTTTCTGGCTTTATTAGGCATCAAAACGCATCAAACCCTAATAGAAATTTGTTTCTAAATGCCTCAGGAACCATACTACGTCGTTAAATTGATAAAAATCGATATAAAATAGTGTTGCTCCAAAACGGCACTACTAGCGCCATCTCTTCGGAATATCAGTGGAACTAACGCCATTTCAAACACCCCCTTCGTTAGTTCCGAATTTCGCCGCTAGACGGCTCTTGTTGTACCATTTCAGAGGTCACGCAAGGAAAAATCAAATACAAAAATAATACAATCTATTTTGCCCGAAACAAGACAGAAGCTATAATTGAAATATGAAGGTTTATACACAAATGTACATAGTTTTCTGTTTGCAAAATAATATATTTAACGTAGATAATAAATAACAAAATGTACAGAAATATATTTCATTAACAGATGATTAACGATCAACGAATTACATGTACAAATTACACCATGATTATAACAAATTAATCGGCAAATAACTTTTCGATAACATTAGGTTTATTGCTTCGATCTATACAAGACGCTATCACTCTGTTTGCATCGATGCAAGGACAACGAAACTCTTCAACAATCGGTTTTTTAACGCGATCAGGATTAATTTCATTATCCCCTGTATTTTCTTCATTGTTAGGTACAACGCGAATGTACGTTACGTGTATAATTAGCTTTTCATCGTCCAAAACTTGCCACGGCGGAAATATTTGTACCGTACCGTTTGACTTCATTTCAACTTTGCCCACTATATTGGGAATTGTCATGATCTTAAGTTTGGGAAAACTATTTTTATCTAAATTTGGAAACAGTAATTGGGACGGATCTTCGATCACGATTCCTTCTAGGAATTGTCTGCCGAAACGAGTCACGCACGCTTGTAAGCGGACGGTAACGCGTGGCACAGAAACGTTGTCTTTATCTATTTGTTTCAATTGATATCTCCATACGCGAACAAACGATAGTTGTCTATTGATCGTCGACTGCAATCTTTCCGCCAAACTCCCTCTGTAACGTACAACATACAAATGTACTATACAATTAACAAGAACCGATCTAATAAAAACTACATTACCTTTTCGGTTTTTTTCTTTTCTTCCCTGAGTCTAAAAGATTCAATTGTACAGCTGGATCCGTGTACGTTTTGCCCGGAGAAGTTTCCGTACTAATAACAACTCCGCTTTGACTCGATTTAATATCGGTTGCATCGTTAACTTGTGTCGAGACTTGAGAAATTTTCTGAGAAGATCGTTCAACGTGTTCCGCTTTTTCGAAGAACGTCTGATCGGAGCTTTTGGTCATTTGTGAATTCAGGGAGCCGGGTTTAGAAATAACTATATGAAAACCGTGTTTCTCATCACGTTTACAGTTTTTAATAGTGGACTCTACGTCTTGTACATCCGTGTCTTCTATCAGATCGCTAAGATTGCAATCGGTATTATCGCTAGAGGTGTTTGCGATATCGTTACAATTGTCGTCGTCCGACTTACTGGACTCTGTTTCAATTTTCACTGTGTCTTTTACGTTCCTTGGGCTATCCTCAATGTGTAATTTTGTATTCGGAGTCGTCGAATTTGATTCTACCACCTCTTTTGAAGCCTTGGAATCTTTACTGGTAGAAGAGTCTACATCATCCTCCTTCAAACTATCTTCTAATCTTTTTATCAACTGACGTTGCTTCTGAGTACACATGATTTTGAATTTGATTTCTGGATACTGACTAGGTGGTAAATTATAAGATGCCACAGAATTCATGTTAGAATCCAGATAGTTACTTTCCGCTCTATCAGAAAAGGGTAACTGCAATTGTGATGACTTTCTCCTTCCTTTTTTGCTAGAATAATGGCAATTTTTAACCAGAACAGGAGACTGTCTCTGCCCAGACACTTCTCTATCGACACAAGCGCTCTTTGTATTTTCCATCTGTTTATTTTCAATTTGCTCCAATACCGATCTCCGTACGCTTTCATTGTTCAATCTTTTTCTTCTTCTTTTATACCCATAACATTTTCTATCCAACACAGGAGAAGCAACTATGTTGGATGATTGGAAAAGCCTCTTTCTAATGTTCTCTTTACTACTATTAGTGTCAATTTTGATACGCTTGTTACACCCAATAGAAGGACTAGAAATTTCTTTATTTGATAGTTCACTGAAACGCGATCGGTCATCGTTATTTATCGTAGAGTCGTTCAAACTACTTTTCTTTCTTACTCGTTTGCGTCGATTGCCAAAGACGGGGGAAGTTTCCGCGCGTTTAGTCATAGACGAACCCAGCGTAGGAGATAATTGGAGGTCATTGTTCGAATTGAGAACGCACTCTTCATGAGATTCGATCCATTTGCGTACAAAATCGATCTTTGCCGTACACGGTATACTCGCCACATTTTTGTCGATCAGCAACCTTCCGTCTTTTTGCCCTTGAAATTGCCTAACCGTGTTTAAGGTTAGAATCGACTCTCCGAAATTTAGTTTTCTCACATAAGATGGATTTTTCGATTCCTGACTATCTTTCTTTTCGACGTCGTTCACTTTCGGGCTTGTCGCTTTCAACATTTTCACGATACCGCGACAAAAATATTAATATTTCGTCGTTTTTCATCGTGACATATGCCAACTTATTGCGAGTGTACACGTTGGGACGCCATGTTTGCGTCGCCATGGAAACCAGGATAGAATCAGGACGCTCTGCGTCCACTGCCAATTTATATTTTTTAAATATTTAATAAAACAGAATTTGTTTATGAAATATGAAACTAGCTCTGTACTTTATTCGTGGGAGTACAAAATGCAAAATTTGTTCAAACACGAAACTGTCAAAGCGTCGAGGCAATGCGCAAAGGTCTCCGCGTTGCTGTTACGCTCCTGAGCGACACATTTTAGCGCGGATAAATAAATTCAAATTTTCGAACACGATCGACAAGTGTCCCGAACGATAGAACGACAGAATTAAATCGCCTACTAGTTCATTAAGAACAAAGCGTAGCACGAAGAAGTGCTGGTCGAAATTCCGATGGAGAAGCATCTTCGGCAGGACGAAGAAGATCGGCGAAAGGAAAGGAAAAGAGAAAAGGATTCGCGAGGCGTTGCGTAAATCTAAATCGGCGTTAAAGGTCCGGTTGGTGTACACGCTATACAATTACCGGGCGACGAGTGTCGAGGAACCCCCTTTTATATTAATAGTCGAGATAGTAGTCGAGCGTGCAGCGTGATAGGAGAATGGCGATCGAGAGGGGGAGGAGGGTAAGGGAGAGTCCCAGAGGATCGGGGAGGGAACCGTGTACGAGGCTTTGGGCAAGAGGGACCGAGAGAGAGGATTCGCGAGGAGGACAAAGACGGAGAGTAAGAGTACGAGAGAGAGAGAGAGGGTTCAAGGGGGACGTTCGAAACGATAGATAGGAGGATGGGATATACCGTGGACGGACCCCTTGTATCCACGATTGCTTCAGTTTCAGTTCGCGATAGAGGCTACTCGTTTCTTCCAGTAGCGGCTGTCGGCTATTCTTCGACGAGGGAAAGCGCGTAAACGGGTCCAGGGAGGGGGTGAGAAGGACAGAGGCAGAGGGAGAAACGAACGAAGAGGGAAGAAAGACGGCGAGGGTACGCGGGAAAATTCGTGGACGTCGGAAGACGAGACGATTCGAAAGGAAGAAGCGTTAAACGGAGTGGGGGACGGTAGGGTTAAGCGGAGGAGGGATCGAAGGCGAACGCGAACGCGCGATTCACGAGGGATGAAGGATGGCACGCGAGACAACGCGTCCAAGGATCGGATCTAGGATCGAAAGAAGCGAATGATCCGAACGTGACCGGTGACCCGTGATCGGTGACCGATGAACGTGGGAGCCGAGATTCGGTCCACGTTGAGATCAAAGGGACAAGCGAACGTTTCTGTTCCGGCAGACACGAAACATCGAACATCGTCGCGAAGGTGAAGTGATTCGGTCGTCTATAACTCGTTACGGAACCCTTACGAAGACGTAAGGAAGCGTTCTTACCGCGGCTCCGAGGCGACGTCCACCTTGCCCTCGTTCGTCCAAATTCGCTAGCACGTTTCCCAGTGTCGTCGATTTTAATCCAGTGGAACAATTTTCAAGTCCGTGGAAGTTGACCGCCTCGATCGGTAAGATTTTCCAGCCGATTCTCGCGAAGGGTTCGAGGGAAGAGGGAGAGGCAGAAGGGCCGGTAGGGTAAAATATTCCGGAAGTTTGCGAGAGTTAAAACGAAACGCGACGCAACGCGATGCAACGCGGCGCAAGATCCAAGCTAGAGGCAGGGGGAAACGAGTGAATGCGTCGATCGAGAACGAGTCGAGAATTTATATCGCGTGAACGGGCAAAATACAGATCGTGATCGAGATTGTTTGCGAACAAGGTGCAAACGAGCGGAACGCTGAAATCGCGACGTGGACTAGGAAGCGTAAACACGGACGCGTTCGAGGAAGAAAAAAAGAAAAAGAGGAAAGGAGAAGCAAAGACGAGACGGCGTCGTTTCGGTATTACGGAAAAATTTGTCGAGAGTTCCTGTCAGGCGTGCCATAAATTGAGTTGTTTAATTGTCTGGTAGCAAAGGCGCGCGATTACGCGACGCAACCGTTGCAACGTTATCTCCTCGTTTTCGTGGAATATCTTGCTATTCATCGTCGTAAAAATATAAATTATTTACGGGCCGGTCGCGACTCGAGACAAACGAAATTTGCAAAAAATCCCGTGATTCGTATATGGTTCGACCGATGACGCGTCGCTAACGAATTTTACAAGAATCTGGTCGATCGGATTCGTCGGTCTGCATTACGTAACGTCGCACGGTTCGGGCAAAATCGTAGCAAATAAGTTGATCCGATGGTGGTTTCGTCGAAGGGGGCGAAGAGGGAAAGAGGGAAAGGGGGACGATGGGCTTCGTCTGCTCTGGCCCGAATAAGAGGAAGCAACGGGACGGCGTGCGAAGCGGGATGACGTTGTTTGCACTCGTGACGTCACTCGCAACTAGCGTCGAGCGACGAGAGGCTGGAGAATGCACGCGCGTGCGTCACGTGGACCGGAATCCAGGATCTAGTATGCGAGATTCGAGGCGCGGATTCGCCGAATCGAGGGATGGATTTTCGAGGGGCGTAACGTCCCCGATCGCGGATGTCGTGACCATTTCAATTTGTAACCGGTCGTTTGCGAAGAAATCGTGATCGAGCGTAGGATCCTGCGATGACCGTCGCGACGCGGAGCGCGAACGAGTTCGCGACGCAACGGAAAGACGCTCGAGCGAGTGCCCAAGGCCGGGACTCGATTCCGCGCGTCTCTCGTTTCTGCAACCTTTCTGACCGAGCGTCGCGTGGACGGACAAATTGTCGAGACGGTAACGTCTCGGCCAGTTTCCGGCGTTTTCTCGCGGTTTACGGCACGCCGCGACGAATCGCGTCGGCGCGTACACGTTTGTGCGACCACGAGAACAACGAGATTCGCATTCCGTTCTCGTTGCGACATCGAGGAGCGCGAGCGCGTTGAGCCGTGTCGAAACGATCTCTTCTTTCGCCGAAACATCCGCGAAAAGTTCTAGGACGCCTCTCTCTCTTCGACTCGGCCCGCTCGGCGGCGCCTACGGTAACCTCGGTTCGATCTCGAATTACCGAGACCCGAGGATCTGTGTCGCGAAACGAAGGGCCTTCGCGAAGGACGACCAGAGTTTCGCTAGAATTTGGTTTGGTTCGGTCGGTTCGCAGAAAAGTAACGAGATCGGCGGAACACGGTGAGGCAGTGGCGGCGGCGG